CCCCCCCCCCCCGGAATATTGCAATTTGCCTAATATGCAACGCACTGCCAAGTTGTGCAGGGCTGGGATAGGTTGGCGCTGCATGTCCTTCAGTCTGAGGTCCGAGCCAAGTTCCGAAAGTCAGAACTTGGGCTTTGCGCTCAGGTTCGGTCAGGAAGCCTCATGACCTCGATCAGTGTCAGTGTATGTCAGCGCCGCCGTGTTCCAACTCAAGGCAATTACTCCCTGTGGCAGTGGCTTGTCACGGCCTCAGATGCCCCAAATCAATCGCATGCGCATGACCCCGACAGCGCTAGCGCCGCCAAAGCTGGTTGGTCTGAGGATGGATGGTTTGAAGCCAGGCCAGGCTCCCCCGAAACCCCGGTCGGAGCCTTGACGCAATCCTGCCACACCGGGATGTCCAGCGTGTCCTTTGAGTGTGATCCGAGGATGGATGGTCCGGCTCCCCTGGTGAAGTCGCTGACCTGTCGCGTGGCAGCAGCGATGCTGGTGTGCTGTGGGGCCTGGAGGTTAGAAGAGTGTCTGATGCCCAGTCCCTTGCAGAAGAGAGTGCTCCACGTTCAGGTCAGACCGGGCATCATTGGAAGCTTGCGAGGCGCGCCGACGCAATCCGAAGCAGTTGAAAGCATTCCGCCCTGCCGCGCAGGAAATTTTTGGTACAACCCAAACGCATGACAAAAACCATTTCCCGTCGCCTGGAAGGCTGACTTTGTTGGTTACATGCCAATGGATGGTCGAGCACAGAGAGAGAAGCAGAGAGAGAGAGAGAGAGAGAGACAGAGTTGCTCCGCAATGCTGGGCATCGCCCGAGGGCCCTGTGCCCTCAAGCCCCCAAGAAAGAAAGAAAGAAAGAAAGAAAGAGAGCGCTCTCAGCACCTTGCTCACTGCGACTAACTCTGTCGCGCGTGCCCCTTGGGGCGGCTCCCTTCCTTGGGGGAGTCATACGCCTAGCAAGCAAGCAAGCAAGCAAGCGAGAGAGCGAGAGAGCGAGCGAGAGAGAGAGAGAGAGAGAAGCATCTTTCGCGGAGAGAGGCGCGATTCGGAGATGGGATTTTTTGCAACAGAACGTGCGTCGGCACTCACGCCGACCGTTTGGAATCGAGAAAAGTAGCTGTTGACCCATTGGAATCTTGGAAGCTCAACTCCCCTGCGCAGGGGTGGCATTTATGCATGGCATGTGGAACGTTCCGCAGCCCCGGCTTGCAGGACGCTGATCTCGCAGATCCGCCTTTGGTGTTGGAAAGCGCCTTAGACTCTTAGATGTTGTGGTACCGGCGCAGAAAGAAGGTGAGGCGCGCAAATCGTTGAAGAAGCGTGTTCCTGCAAAGGCGGACGTTTACCGACAAGCACGAGAGCCAGAGCGGGAAGCACTGGAGCAGCCCGAGCCAAAGATTGAGCGCTTTTGAACGCGACAAGCAAACTACTTGGATTTATTCAGGAAATGTGCTGTTTGAGGCTGCTAGACTACCACATCATCTCGCAGCATGAGTTTCACAACTCCGAACTTCCTCGTGCCCGCGACCAAACGAAAGGCTGTCTAATTGCTGCTGCCATCTGACTGTCCGACACGCTTCTCCAAGGATCACCTTTCCAGACTCCTCAGGGTTGGTCTTGAGCTCGTCGCCAAGCCTAATGCTGAGACACCCGCAGCTACGTTTTGCTCTTGAACCTCACAAGCTCGGAAGCTGAAGTCTGCCGCATGTCGCCTTCAGGCCTGTTCCACTGACGCAGGCGCGACTTGTGGCCTTTTGACGTTTTGGAGTTTCTGTTGGTGTGTGGCTTGTGCCTTTGTAAGCTCGCTCATGCCTGCGTTCATTCGCGCGTCACTTCAGGACAGTATAGCGATGCCAGATCGGAGCCAAATCTTATGCTTGTTATAATTACTGTATCTTATACATAAAACTGCGGCAGGACGACAGTTCGCCGTACTCCCGCATGTTGGTCTCCCGTGTTTGGAGCCATTTCCTTGTTGGATCTTTCTCCTTGTCATACGGTTCTGTTCTCTTGGGGGTTAGCAGCGGTGAGGGCCGTCCTTTCTCGCAATGACTTCTGGACAAGTGTTGCTGAAGCCAGGCACAGTAGCACGAACGCCAAACTGCTGGACTATCGGTCACACAATTCACGCCCTGCAAAGCCCGAGATGTACAATTTGTTGTTTTCTGTCGCACGTTCCGTGAGGTCTATTTTCCTTGCATGCTTTTCGGAGCTTGAGTACGATGGGTTTTGGGCAAATCGCAAACCCATCGCGCAAGAGCTTCAGCACTAGGGACCTTGGTTCAGTTCAGTCATGACATGATGTCGTTGCAGACGCCAGCGCAGAAGGCCACGGCAACAGGACATCACATGTGTCAATGCGCGCGCGTCGTCTACTTAAAAGGCAACATGCGTTTGTTCCACTGATCTTGATCTTGTGACACTTTTTTCGGCTTCGGCTTGGGGATTTTGGGCTGAAGGCATCGGGTCCGGAGCAGCATGGCCAGAATTGGATCTCACCTTGGCGAATGGCCCGTTGCATCTTGCGCAGTTGCACATGTGCGGTCAGGCGTTCGCGCCGTTTTCGGCTCCTGTCACGCTTTCACCATCACACCGTCACGAAAAAACACCTACAGCAACGTCGCAACGTCAAAGGCGCTGCAGTGACTGCTCTTCAGGTGGCCGCCGCAGAGTACACAAGGCGGCGCATGGAGGCGGGTCTCTGTGTGTGTGTCGCCGCATGAGAACAGTCTCTCACACTGCACAGCTTGCGCTTGTGGAGGAGTTGGAGCCACCTCATTGGGTTCGAGACATGCTGGTCACAGTCTTACGTTGACACGGTGCCTACAGGCAGTACAATGCGTTCTGGTGTAGCTGTGGTTCCGTCCTTCCCTCGTGGCGCTTTCGCGGTTGTGGGTAGACGTGATGCTTTGGAATTTCCATCATCGGAACCCCATGGAACCCCGCATCGCTCAATGAGCATTTACTTCCAGCAGTGCTAAATGCAGTATTGTAGCAAGCAGCAAGACCTTATGTGGCCAGTTTGGCCAATGTACATCAACGTACATAACCCCAAATGGTTGACGCTCAAGAAAATGCCGTGCCCAGTCCCAGCAGTTCATCATCAAACAAGGGTTTCTCCAGCACCGCTACATATTGACTTGACGCCTGAGGCCATTCTGCGGGGAGGCGACGCCAAAGAAGCGTTTGAGATTTGCCAGCAAATCCGAAGCCTCCCGGTAGAAAGTGTAGACCTTCTGCAGCAGGCCGGGGTGAAACAGGCCATCATAGCTGCCACGCAAAGGCATCCATGCATATCGCTCCAGGGTGACAAAGCTCTCGCCTGGCTCCAGAGCGCAGCCTAGAGAATTTTAATAGAAGCAACTTGTACTTGGAGGATTAGGGCCAAACGGCCGCCTTTCTGCAAGCAACAAGCGGAGTTCATCCACTTCTGCATTTGGTGAGGGCTTGCCGGTCTCAGCCAAACTCAGCAGCAACCCGCCCTTGTCCCAACCATCAGCCAGGCCTCAAAGAAGGCCTTGCTGAACATTGACAGCGGTACTGTACTTCGTGTCACAGCGTCTCACAGCTTTTGCGCAGGATCAAGCAGACCTTGGATAAAGTGTCGGGAAGGGTTCTTATTCACTGTTTCGAGTTGATCGAATTAACTTGTTCTGAAGGGAACTCCGTATGAGTGTAGTCAGTTTAGTCATGGTGTCCTTTTGAGGTTACTATTAATGAATCGCAAGAAGGGGGGTGTTGTGACGTGCCCGAAACAAGAACATGTGAGAAGCATAATGGCCGGATTCAAAGTGTTGCGCGCTTTGTTTTCATGGGTTGGCGTTTCCTTAAGAGAACAAAATATAGGGCTGCAGCTGTCCACACTCGCAACAGCCCCAGCAGGTTTCTTATGTACAAGGCATCATTGAGACCGCATTTAGGGTTGCCAATCACATCAGGCTGGCAGGTAGTTTAGGTTTCGACTGCGGTGTCAGTTTCCATCCGCTGAGCACAGCGAACTACATGTTTAAACAAGTCACTTCCTTCTTCTACAGAAATTTCAAACAGGGGCCGCGAGATCTTGCAAGACATGTTTGCAGAAGGCCTACGCTTCCTGAGGGGCGCTTGGGCTTGGTCTGCCGGGAACCCCCTGCGCTCAGAAGCTGTTCCGGAGCAGGACAAACAACCGAGCTGTGAATCTCAATTGAAGTTTGCTTGCTGCTCGCGTAGGGCCTATAGAGCCACTGCTGGCCCTCCTTGCAGCACAGCTCTCATCAGCTGTTTGGGTTGTGCCAACGGTAGTCGAAGGATGTCAAAGGGCAATTGTATACGCATGGTCCTACGTCTCCTGTTTCGATATCCAGTGCAAAGTACATACAGAAATGCTCGCGTATCCCAACAGAGAAAGTAGCATCAGAAAGGTTCCCCGTCTTACGAGGCCGTGCCATTGCGGCGGTGTGCGTTTTGCTTGTATATGTAATAATCAGAGAATATTTGGCGGCTTTTGGCGTGTTCTTCGCAAAAGTCCCCGCCAGGGCGTACCAGTCCCGAAAGCATCGACGTGCAACCCCAATCTGAGCTCCTGAAAAAAATTGCGAGTCTATGTCTCAGTGCTTGGGCAGTTTCTTTCCTGTGGGCAAAGCATCTCGTTCGCCAACGTGGTAGGTTGTGCCGAAAGTACTTTGGACATGCAAGATCAGTGCTTCCCTACATTCACATCATGAACGGTAACGTCTGCAGCATCACTCTCATCATCACCATCGTGCTTCTTGGGCGTTTTGTTTGTGGCAGCGGTGACTTGGAAGCTTGGCTTGTGAGTTGCTGCGGGCTGGCCCTGAGCTGGCTCAAGCCACGGTGCAGATCAGCGCGGATCTGGTGAGGCAGAGCCGCGAAAGAGGCATGCTCGCAGGGGGTCACGCCATACGTAGAGTCATAGAGAGCCTGGAGCATGCCGGCATCAGGCATGGGTGGCAAAGCCAAGCCCACCAAGCACACGGCCAAGGAACTCGCTCAGAAGGACACATGTTCACCGTCGTGGTTGTTGGATGTTGATTGTTGGGTGGGAATTGTCTTCAGCTCCCCTGCTTGCTTTTCTACACGAAAGTTCTTGTTTTGCAGAAGACCCTGCTGCAAAACCCCAAGCTGTATTTTCCTCAGCTTCAAGGTTGATGTTCCACTCTCTCCAAATAGGTTCGTTGTTCAGAGGATTCAGTGGGCTTTGTCTCCCTCTGGCTGCACACTTCTGAGACTTCTTGTGAGGAGAAGGATGCCACCTGCAATCGTGGTGGTGGCTCTGCTGGGTTGAAGGAGCACAGATCTCTCGAAAGACAGCAGATGATTGCTTGACCAATGTATTTCTATGTATTTCTCACTCACAACCCGTCAACCTGTTGATTTGGCTTCGCTGGAGGACCGGCAAGGCGGATCGGTGGGTCACTCCAAGTACAAGTGCAACATCTGCATGCAGGCCGCGCCCGACCCGACTCTTGGCAGAGAGTCTTTGATTCAGATGCGAGTGAGGGAGGGGCAAGTGAGGGGCTTTCAGGGGACGCTGGGGACTCGCGCTGCTCAGGAAGTCGATGCAGATGCACTTCGAGTCGAAGCATCCCAAGGAGGCAGCTTCTGCAACCTCTCACCTCGCAGCAGCCCCTTTCCATCCCTTTCCTGCAACCTTGAAGGGCTGCACAGTTCACAGATGTTCACAGTGAACAGAAGCCAGAGTGGAATTAAGCTAATTAAGCCGGATTCTTGGATCATATGGGTGTTCAACTTCAACTCCACATGCAGGAGTTTTCGCTGGAGAAGTGTACAGACCTCCATTCGGGAGCTGCTGGCACCACCACAGGGGTCGCTGTGAGAGGTGGCATCAAGAAGCACCACAACTGAGAGAGCCTCTTAGACTCAGAACATCTTCCTACACCTGTGACTCTGTGACTGCGCGCTTCGTGAATGACCCCCTTATGTGCCGGAGCCCCATGTCGTTGGACCTGAGGGTTCGCTGGCATCTTAGTTAGACTGCTAGACTGCTAGACTTTAAGTTAGGCTCTTTTAGACTCTTGTAGACAGTGTTTTGAGGGTAACACATGTACAAGAACTGCGCCCCATCACCCGTCGTCTCACCGGGCTCCAGAAGTGATGCCCGAGAGCAAGGCCTTCCTTCTCTCCAGTTGTGCTTTCAACTCAAGGCATCTCCCCACTTACTCACTCATTACACTCATCCTATTCTTCTTTCAGTGACTCCTTTGTTTCAAAGTCTGTGTCTGTTGTATCTTACAGTCTGAATCATGGCGAGATCCCACGGCACGGTAAGTCCTGTTGAGGCAGGCAGCCATTTTCCGCTCAGCTGCACGATGTTGCACTGGTGATTCCTTTGCTTGAGCAATCTTGTTCGCGATGCTAGATTCAAAGAGTTCTCTTAACGGCTTCTTGACATCTTTCCTCCATCGTCGCAACATTAGCCATCACATGCGCGAGCTGAAGGCCAAACGGCCTTTAAACTCTGCGGACCGCACCTAAGCTCTCAGTTATTAGAAAAGGAGATCGGACTGGCGCCTTTTGACTGACTGACAGATACTGAAAGCGGCGCACTCTGAGGGGAACACTCGGAGACGGCTGGCGCGCTCTGCAATGTGTTCAGCATTTTTCTCTCTAGATCAATTTTCGAGAAAACGGTGGGGAATGCCCGGCCATGCCACCGCTACCGCGGCTCGACGGCCGGGTGCTGTCTTGCTTAAGGGCTGCTTGGGGTTGTCACACGATGTCACGGCACTGTTTGCATTTGCTCCGAGAGGCCCCGCTGGACAGGCGCCCAGGGAAATGTGGGAATTAGGGAGAGCAAGGTGCAGAGGGCTGCCTTCTTCCGGCGCTTTGCTGACTTGTGCAAGTGACACCTGCACACAGGATGCCTCATTTCCCGTTCAGTTCTCAGCTGCTCATCGAACTCTCTCTCTCTCTCTCTCTCTTTTTGGCTTTCAAAAGGGTCTGGGTGTTTCCTGCTCTTGAGGCCTCGCCCACCACCAAGACGCCCTTGTCCCGCATGGCGCGGCTCTTCCGGAAGGAGCCTTCCGGAGCGGAAAGAATGAGAAAAGACTTGCTGAGAGTCACTCGGGGACTGGGTGATAACCTCTTCACTCACTGGACTCTGTTCACTTCTTGTTCACTTCTTGTTCGCTTTTCACTTTACTCCTCACTCTCCTCGCCTCTTCACTCTCTCCGCTCATCTCCACTCTTCACTCTTCACTGAGGGTCTTCACGTCCCTCGGACATTGGTGCTCTCTCAGGGCACCTCCGCCGTGGTGCAAGACGACGCCCACTACCAGCGCTGTGATGACCTTCAGGAAGAGGAGCGAGGGCCGCTCGCGAGGGAAGTGAGGGAAGGGCTTAAAGGGGAGGAACCGGGGGGGACTCACAGTGCCGCGTATTGCTTGTTCGCACACCACGACGGCCGCGGTTGCTCTGCTTTTGCTCAGTTACTTCTTGTTCTGTCTTGAGCTTCGAGCCCTTCAAGGACATGGTGAGTGCAAGCACGAATGCAGGCACTCGAAGCAAACGAACCAAAGTGAGCTGAAAGCCATGGAACAAGTGAGCCAAGGCAGTGAGAGTTGGGAAGTCTGCGAAGGGCATCAGGGCCAGGTCTTTGGGCTACTCGAGGGAGACGCGGCCAGGAGAAGCTGATTCTCAGACGGTTCTGGATCCTTCTGGTTGCCACTGCCGCCGGTACCTCGGTGCCTCAAAGTCGGAACCGGGCTAGACCCCTACTCCAGATGATGTCCGAATGTCACTCCACTCGGCTCAGATCCTCTCGAGCTCCCTGTCCTTCTCCATCGACCGCTTCACCTACGCCGCGGGGCTGCTGCGCTCCGCGCTGACCCTGGGCGCCCCGCGCGGCACCGAGACCCACAGACTGCCACAGACTTCCGAGAGGTCTCTTGAGGTTTCTTGCCGTCTAGCCAGAGTGTGCCCACATGTGCGGAGCCCACGTTCTCAAAGAAGAGCAAATATAGGACTGATAGGATTTCTGAAAAGAGAGATGGGGATGTACGAAGTGTGCTGTGGGGCCCTCGCTGTTTGCGTCCACTACTGTATCGGATGCCCTCTTTCGTGCCTTCTCTTTTTTCTTTTGAGTTGAGGCTCAAAGCGCTGGGCTTCAACATCGGAATGGCCTGCCTCGCCCGCATCATCGTTCGACCTACAGCCTGAGCCCCAACTCGAAACGCGTCTGTTGACTCTTCACTCAGAGATGCTTTTTCTCCAAGGTTGATGTTTCTCCGTTTTTTTTTGGATTGTTTTTTTTCTTTCTCAGAAGCTCTTGGTGGCTCCTTTTCGTGGGGGGGGGGGGGCACCTTTTTTTTCTTGTGACTCTCGGACCCTGGCTTGCTGGATTGCTGGATTGCTGGATTGCTGGATTGCTGGATTGCTGGATTGCTGAGGTGGAGGCCGAGGGAAGCGGCTTCCCGGAGATGAAGGCTCGACAGCAACACACGGTGTGACCATGACCCCTCAGACTCTATCACCTCCATCTGACAGGATGATATCATCAGAGATCATCTAGAGAATCTAGAGTGCAAGCTAAGAAGGGCTTGTCTAGGAGCGGTCGTCGACTCTTGAAGCCGAGGCGATGCTATTTGGGAAGGTGCTCTTCAACTTCTTGACCTTTCGTGTGCCAGAAGCCTAAGCTAGAGTGACAAAACACACACTGCCTCTAGTTTTTGTTATGGCGACAAGAGTGAAGTGACTCAGTGAGCGAAGTGCAGCTGCGAGCACCATTCTTCGCACTTTTTGGGGGAGGCGCGTTTCTTTTTCCGAGGCTGGTGTCCAAGGCACTGGCGCTCTCGTTGGGAGTGGGTGCTGGCCTCCCGCTCGGAAAGGCGGGGCTGGGGGAGAATGGCGAATGAACTTTAAGCAGAAGGCCGAGAAAGGCGAGAAAAAACCTCGAAGGCGAACGTTCTCACAGACTCTTTTGCTCAAGTTGGAGTAGTTATCTTCCTACCCCTTTGTGCGCTCAAAGGAGGGTCCCAACGTTCACATGGCTGCCTGGCCCCCAGAGACTCCAACAAGCGCAATGAGAGCGAGAGAGGGGGCCTGAGCCCCCCCTTCCCCCCCTTCCCCCCCTTCCCTCCCTTCCCCTTTCCTTGAGAGACCGCTACGAGGCCTGCATCGCGCGCATCATCCACCCCTCCTTCTTCGAGACCGAATTTGCCGTAAGAGAAGGGAATTTAATAGGGGAGAAGGGAAGAAGGGAAGAAGGGAAGAAGGGAAGAAGGGAAGAAGGGAAGAAGGGAAGAAGGGAAGAAGGGAAGAAGGGAAGAAGGGAAAAGAAAGAAGGGGAAGAAGGAGAAGGGAAGAAGGGAAGGGGAAGGAAGGAAGAATGGAAGAAGGGGAGAGGGAAGAAGGGAAAGAAGGAGAAGGGAAGAAGGAAGAAGGGAAGAAGGTAAGAAGGGAAGGGGAATACGGGAAGAAGAGAGAAGTGAGAAGGGAAGGAAGGGGAGAAGGGAGAAGGGGAGGAAAGGGGAGAAGGGGAGAGGGGAGAAGGGGAGAAGGGGAGAAAGGGGAACGAGGGAGAAGGGGAGACGGGGGAGCGGGGAGAAGGGGAGGAGGGGAGGAGGGGAGGAGGGGAGGAGGGGAGGAGAAAGGAAGAAGGGGAGAAGGGGAGAAGGGGAGAAGGGGAGAAGGGGGGAAGGGGGTAAGGGGTGTGGGGATATGTGTTAAAGGGGATGTACTGCAGAGGGGATCTAACGACCGTCAGGAGAAGTCGACGGATCATCGTGGCATACACATCTGGGAGATGGAAATGGGTCCTCGCTAAACCGGGCTGCACAATGGTTGTCGCGACTCGAGGTTGCTTCTCCCCAAGCTCAAGCTGAAGCGGCTGTTGGGTTTCTTGACGTAAGTTTAACTTCTGAGGAGGGCTCCTTGGGGAAAGTGAAGCGCTCACACCTGACAAGAAGTGCCTCTGAGACATTCCTATCCAAACCCAAAACGTGTACAGAGACTAGCGGATTTGATTTCATTTTCTTTAGTACGAACTGCAGGAACCCCGTGCCATCATCATGTCTCAAATCCATGATTGCAGCGTGTCGGCCCTAACCACGACCAGGATTGCCAGCTGAAAGTTGAGTGATTTGCTTTATAATCTAGATCAGGGCCAAACCGATCAAAATTGCGTATGGGGGGGACGGCACACAATGCAGCCCTTCGGATGGTAAAGGGGTGCATCTTGCTTAAATTCAAACAAAAGGGACGCAACTGTGATACAAACGTTTGACTCGCGTTTGCATCCGGACCTCTTTATTTCTCCTCCTTGGATCCCAGCGCCTGTCAAACGTATGTGAGGTGTGACGGAGATCACAGACTGCTCCTCTCCTGTATCCCGAAGCAACGAGGCTATGTTACGGCTTTTTCCACATCGTCATCAACCGCTTTGAAAGGATCGAAGATCCAAGGTTTCCAAGAGAAATTCCACGGAATCTGGGAGTCAGGCTATTATGAACTTAGGATCTTCGCATTCTCTCCAAAACGTTCCGGGAAATTTACTTTCAAAAAGTCGCCTAAGCTACAGCATTTTTTCTGTGACGTAAGTGGGCTTTTCTATAACGTAATGGGCTTTTCGGGAATCAAAGACTACAACAAAGTGCGAAGTCCGCAGAGACCCCCGCCGAGTATCCCTGGAGGGCCCACCCCCAGATATCCCGAACGAGGGAGGTAGCAGTGCCGAACCTCAGGAAAAAGTGGCCGGCCAACTTTTCCCGAGTTAAACGGCGCAATGAGGAGTTTCTTTTCAAGAAGCAGAGCCTGAGACGAACAGTTCGTTCACAAGACAAAAGGGAACAGCCTTTTGCCTAAACATGGAACAAGAAGAAGTCAATCCATTATAAGAAGAAGGCCTATGTGCTATGTCCGTATTTCTAAGAGGCTGACCTTGTCGTTCATTAAGCCAAACCATATTGCCAGCATGATGGATTTCGGTTGTCCAAAAGGGCACAATTGGATCCATGGGGGAGGGCGGGTGGCTTACAACATCTTGTAGCACGGTGGCGTGTGTGTCTCTGTGTGTGTGTACGCATGTTGTGCGGGAGGAAGCGCGTGCAAAGCTCACATGGTGCCCACGGCGCCGGCGGCAGTGGCGTGGGCTCCGCGGTCTCCAAGTTGCTGCTGGCTGCCTGCGCCGTCGGCGCGCCCCCCAACGGGCCCTATAGAGGGAAGAACTCAAAAACAAGGGAGGCAAGCCTCGTAAGCCCCCGTGCAAAGCCATCTGACGGATTTTTGCCGCAGAGGGCGCAAGAGAGAGAGAGAGACAGCGCCTATGCCCCATGAAAGAAAGAAGAAAGCGAGGGAGGGGCCAGCGAGGAATGTCAAGCTTCACAGCGTCTTCAATCGAGGTGTTGGAGCCTCTTTCTCTGCGCCGATCGGAGGAGTGATCTTCTCCTTGGAGCTAATGTTGCCGCAGGCATGTTGAATCCCGCGTGGCCACGCACCCTCCGCGCAAGTGCCTCACACGCCCCAGACCTATGATGCCTTCGCCTATTGGGGGTGCTTTACTGCCGGCTAGGGTCTTGGTGCCATTGCCTCTCCTGTCAGCATTGCAATTCACTGCACATATATATATATATATGGACACAACGCCCCCCATGACCTACCCAGATCTGTTTCCCTCGTAAATACCGTTAAAAACCCGCTCGTGCCCTATGCCGCTTTTTGCTACTCTCAGTGGCTGTCTCTCGACAAAACAGACCCCACACTGACCACAGGACTGGACGCCCAAACGGACGAGACCAAAAAAACAACAAAAACCAACTTTTTAAGAGAATGGGGAGGGGATGTTGAAAAAGATGTTTTTTTGGTTTTGCCTCGTAAAAAGATTGTTTTTCATAGACAAACCAACTCCTCGTAAAAGGATTGTTTTGGCCTGGTCTGCCTCAGGAAAACCATCTTTTTGCGAGGTAAAAGTTGGTTTTTGGCTCCAAAACCATCTTTTACGAGGCAAAACCAAAAAAACAAAAAAACCATCCTTTTTAGAGAATAGGGAGGGGATGTTGAAAAAGATTGTTTTTTTTTGTTTTGCCTCGTAAAAAGATGGTTTTTCATAGGAAAAACCAACTTTCCCCACGTAAAAAGATGGTTTTGGTCTGGACTGCCTCAGGAAAACCATCTTTTTGCGAGGTAAAAGTTGGTTTTTGGCTCCAAAACCATCTTTTACGAGGCAAAACCAAAAAACCAAAAAAAACATCTTTTTAGAGAATGGGGAGGGGATTTTGAAAAAGATGGTTTTTTGGTTTTGCCTCCTAAAAAAATGTTTTTTCATAGGAAAAACCAACTTTCCCCACGTAAAAAGATGGTTTTGGTCTGGTCTGCCTCAGGAAAACCATCTTTTTTGCGAGGTAAAAGTTGGTTTTGGGCTCCAAAACAATCTTTTTACGAGGTAAAAGTTGGTTTTTGTGTCCAAAACCATCTTTTTACGTGGGGAAAGTTGGCTTTTCTATGAAAAACCATCTTTTTACGAGGCAAAACCAAAAAAATCTTTTTCAACATCCCCTCCCGGTTTTTTTGGTTTTTGGTTTTGCCTCGTAAAAGATGGTTTTGGAGCCAAAAACCAACTTTTACCTCGCAAAAAGATGGTTTTGGCGTGGTGTTCTTAAGGAAAACCATCTTTTTGCGAGGGAAAAGTTGGTTTTCCTATGCAAAACCATCTTTGCAAAACAATCTTTTTACGAGGCAAAACCAAAAAAAAACAATCTTTTTCAAAATTCCCTCCCCATTCTCTAAAAAAGATGGTTTTTTTGGTTTTTTGGTTTTGCCTCGTACCTCTCTCGGGCCAGAACCGTTCAGCTCTATATGTAGCTGTCCAGTGGACGGTTTTGGTTCGAAGCAAGACGTGTCAGCATGCTTGGAGGCTCGTTGGTTTTGGTCAGTCTTATATTCATCTCAGCAATAGCATTCCTATTCCTATTAATGTAAAAGGGTTCCTAACCATCTTTATAGGACTTCTTTTCATTTTGCTTATATTCTTATGAACTTTCAGAGGGTTCTTATTCAATATCAGAGGATTCCTAATACTTTTCAATAGGGTTCTTATGCATTTCAACAAGGTTCTTAATCATTTTCAAGTGGCTCTTTAATTCTAACAGGGCTCCTCTGAAATTAAAAATCTTTTTAAGATTCATATTGGTGCCTATTCATTTTAGTGAGTCTCCAAGTAATTTTAGCGCTACGCGACCCGCCTCGGCCCGGCCCAGCGCATCTGCGTGAGCATGGTGATTCCGCAGCGCCCAAGTCGCTGGACCCCAAGCAATAAGGGTTGGGTTTAGGGTTTAGGGTTCCGGGTTTATGGTTTAAGGTTTGGGGTTTAGGGTTGAGAGTTAGTTTAGGATTGAGGGCTTAGGGCTCAAGGTTCACGCTTTGGGGTTTAAGGTTTTTTTTGGGTTTAGGTTTAGGGTTTCGGTTCAAGCTTAGACTCTTCGGCTCGCCCCCGGCCGTGCTCACACCAGTTGAGCCTCGAAAAACCCGCTCACCAATGTTCTGTAGTGGTTTTGGAGGGCGGCGAGGAGAGGGGCCATAGGCGGGTAGGGGGGGGGGGGGGGGGGGGGGGGGGGGGGTGGGGGTGGGGGGGGGGGGGGGAAGGCGGGGGGGGCCCTGCTGGGAGGGCTTCAACTGCCTCTGGTCCTGGCGAACCGTCCGCTTGCGGACCCATTTGAGGCAAAAAAAGTGGTCCGAAAATTGGCTTTGGGTGTGGGGGGAGGATTTGGAGGGGGGTGCCTGTTCTGACAACCTATACACCTCCGGCCCGAGGTCTCGGCGGATTTTAATGGTATTCTTCGAAAATTGAATAGCATTCCTAGTCCTATTAATTCTAATCGGAATCACATTAAGTCTAACAGGAAGCCAAGAAATTTTGAAAAGGAACCGCCTTGAATTTTGTAGGATTCCTATTGGTTCCTATTATTTTTAGTAGGATTCCTTTTCATTTTAAAAGGATTCTTATCAATTGGTAATAGGGTTCTTATGAATTTTACTGGGGTTCCTAATAAATTCCGATTAACGTCAAAGGGTTCCTAACCATCTTAATGGGACTCCTCTACCATTTCAGAATAGTCTTATGAATTTTCAAAGGGTTCTTATTCAATGTAGCAGGATTCCTAATGTTTTTTTGCAAACAGGGTTCTTATGAATTTCAACAAGGTTCTCAAACATTTTAAAGTGGCTTCTTTTAGTTTCAATAGGGGTCCATCTGAAAATGAAAAGGATTCATACTTTTTTTAGGATTCCTATTGATTCCTATTCATGTTTGTGACTTTCAAAGTAGTTGGAATGGTTTTTTCTGGAGATTTGAATAGCATTCCTGTCCCATTAATTTTAATAGGAATCACATGAATTCTAACAGGAAGCCTCGAAATCCGAACCACTTTTTTACTTTTATAGGATTCCTATTGGTTCCTATTAATTTTAGGATTTCTCTTCATTTTCAAAGGATTCCAATAGGGTTATTATGATTCTTAGTGGTGATGCTTATCATATCCTATTGATGGTAGGACCCTCTTCATGTAAAAGGTTCCTCTAAAAAGGGTTCTTATGAATTTTAGTGGGGTTCCTCATAAATTGAATAGGATTCTAATTCATCATAACAAGATTAAGAGACATATTAATAGGATTCCTATTTAGATTTAATGGAATTCCCACATTCCCGTGAATTCAAAAAGGGCCCCTTTTCATTTTCACAGGCTCCCTACTATTCTTTATGGGGGGCCCTATTATTTTTCTACATTTTAATGGCATTCCCATGACGTTTGATAGAGAGTTCCTCTGACTCAAATATATGATTCCAAGTCATTATTCCTATTGATTCAATAAAAGTCTTATTAATTTTAATAGGGTTCGTATGAATTTCATAGGGTTTTCGTTCAATTAAGAGGGTTCTTATTAAATTCATACCTATGACTAAGTATGGATTTCTTACTCCGACACGGCCTCACGGTAGGTCATGGGGGGGGGGGGGGGTGTGAGCATATATATGTATATATATAATTGCCAAGCGCAAGTCATGTAGACGGCAAGACACACACACACACACCGTACAGAATTTGAAGGCAAACGTGGCTCGTGTCTTCATGAAACTATGTTTGAGGCATCGTGGGTGCCATCACCTATGCCGTGGAGAGGACTGCATACACTGTCTCCTTGCATGGGGACGCAGAGACGCTGTAGGACCTGGACAACTGGGGGTGACAGCCTGCTTCCGCTGATCAGCCTTTGTCCCATTAAAGTTGACTCCGTTCATTTCTCCTGAACTCCGTTCCTTCATCTCCACCCAGCTTTCCAGGTTCGAATGTGCTGCCCGGCGAGGGTTCAGACACTGACTTCCCTCTGCTTCGTCTGGCTGTGGACATTCTACTAGGCGAGCCGTGCAATTGCGCGACATGAAGTGGCTACAAGTAAATTGCAGATCTTCCCGGAATATACTCGAGTTCTTGAGGGCTGCTGTGCGGCCTAGCCGGTGGCCTCTGGGCCGGGGCCCGGGATTTGAAAGGCTCGCCGTGAGCACATGCGAGAGCACAATGCGAGAGCACAATGCGAGAGCACAATGCGAAAGCACAGGCGAGAGCATGCGTGCAGTTCTGAGTTCTGAGGTCCGATCGCACTCCTACGTCGTCCAGCTCCAAGCCAGACGAACATATAAGACATACATATATAATCTAATATAATATAGTATAATACAATATAATATATATATATATATGTAGTAATATTTATTATACATATATATATGGCCATATATATATAGTCAACCCCCCCCCCCCCGACAGACACTGGTCTCGATACTCGTACCACTGTATGTAGCGATTTAAACACGACTATTGGAACTCCATGATTCCTGGACGGTGCCGATCTCTCTGGGCCAGCAGCCCTAAAACCGAAACCCAAAGAAACAAACCCCCCGAGAATTGTCAGAGCTCGTTCTGTTTGTTTTTTTTTTGCGTTGTCATTTCTTGGTTTCGGGTGGTTTGCCCTCGGGAATTTGAGCCAAAACCAAAACTCTCAAGGACAAGAACAAACAAACAAAATTCCAAGACGAGTTCTGAGATTCACTCTGAGGGTTTGTTATTGTTTTTGTTTTGTTTCGGGGCCCTGCTGAGCAGATAGTATCCATTTAATGATAAAGCAAAGCCAGTATCCCGAGCCAAAAAGCTGGGCTTGCTTTCACCCCTCCCTTCCCCAGTAGGCGAGAAATTCAGTTTCAAGAGGGGTAGGAAGTGTCTCTATTTACGCGTGAAATTAAGAGAGGTTGAGGCTGAGATCCCACGTAATGGCAATGTGTTCTTGTAATTATTTGGGGGGGGGGGGGGGGGGGGGCAAGTCATGCATTGCAACAGCATACAGCAAATGCCCCTGCCTTTAAAACTACATATTCTCCAGTATTGCCTGAACAGCCCACTCACCCCCCCTCCCCCACACCCCACCACCAATAAAGCTGAAAATGTAGACAGCTAAATTACCCCAACCATTTGCCTCTTAAACTTGCGATTTGGCTTCCAATATTCCAGGCCTGTTTAAGTAGTAGCTATGTCGGAATTGAACAGTGAACTCCAAGTATGTCGACCATTCAGTTGGTTGTTTGTCATTGCAAGCTTGGGAAAGGGGGAATTAATGTATAAATAAGAAAGGTATAATCCTACAAGGTCTGTTCTCTAGCCAAACTGCAAACTAAAAAGCTAGCCCCGAGCAAAAAGTTGTTGTTGTTGTTGTTGTTGTTGTTGTTGTTGTTGTTGTTGTTGTTGTTGTTGTTGTTGTTGGCGCATTGGTTGTCCTAGCAGCTGTCCTTCGTTCTTTTTCCGTGCCATCGAAGCAATGTGACAAAATTATCCGAATTGTTTGAATGTATAACTTTGTGTGGTGGACTCATATGATCAAGTGTATTTACCTGTAAGTTGTACGCCCCATACGTCATGCAACATGTATGGGTATTGCACATGCGTATTGGATTCAATCTCTGGTTTATGTCATTAGCACATGGCCTCTGATCTGAAATTTCATTTTAAAGTCAACGCTTATTGGAAAGCTCTCATTGATTTTCTTTCAATATTCCTGGGGGCACCAATTATCAAACTAGTAAGAAGCAGAACCCTGATTGCGTGACGTATGCAATAAAGAAAGCATTCCGAACATGGCTTCCATTGGTTTTAGTCCCATGATCCATACTCGTATGTTGGCTTCTCTTGCGATTGCATCAAGTTAATCACACCGCTGGAAACTGCTGCAACCTTCCCTACGACAGACGATGGTAGAAAACTGGCTTCGGCGTTTATCCTAGGAGGGGGTGTGAGCATGTATATATACATATACATAATTGCATCGTTACATGATGAAGTTACATTCCTAATGACAGTGGAGTCGGAGCCACAAGGACTCAGACTTGTCTTTCGGAGGCCGGTGTGTTGAAGCGCTGGCGCTTGCGCGAGGGAGAGCCGCTGAAGGCGGTTTTGAACTTCTGCTCCATACAGTCACACTCGGTGTGCGCTTTTGGTGTTCTTCTTGC